CTCTCTCTCTCTCTCTCTCTCTCTCTCTCGATGTTTAGCAAACTTCTTATGTATTTATAAACGGAGTACCGAAACATTAGTCTAATGTTTGCGATACACCGATAATACTGGTCTGAGTCTCACACCCAGTATTAATGTTTTTTAAAACACTTAAATTACGATAATTTTTTAAAGCTTTATGTATGGGTTCTGAGGACCGCATCCATACGGCTGTGAATCTAGACTTTGCCAAAAAGAAATAGTGGCGTAACTCTTACTCTAACATTGTTTTATCACAAATTGTATGATTTTTATAAACAACAGAATAAAGTTGTTCTTAAAGTATGTTTTATTTTAAATTTATTGAAAGAATTAATTAAAAATGAGTTATTAATTGTTTTTGTGTTATGAAAGCAAGAAAACAAAAAAGTTATCTTAATTTATATTCAAGTTATTCTTTGTTGTAAAACAAGTTTAGGAATGCATTGCTGTTCCCGAAGAAGAAGAAGAAGAAGATTGAGCTCTAATTAATTAATTCGTATATTAAAGAAAAAACTCTATGAAAATATTATATAACATTATATAACATGTGAATTGTTATGCATATGAAGCTGAGGTCAAAGGCAACTAAATTATTCTCTCGTAACAAATGTTATTAATTAAGTTTTACCTGAATTTTTAAAGTCTCGGAATAAGTATTGATGAGCAGTACTTGTTTGTTGATGGGAGGGCTCGACTCCCATCACTGCCGATGACGATGACGGCGATGATGACGATGACGATGACGGAGACACTGCCCATGGATGCCATGGCCTTTGCTTTCGGCCTAAGTGTTGGCCTGAGATGAAGCGATTGCAAGCGTTAACTAAACATATATCTAAAGCATTGAATAAATATATAATTGTAATCACCAATGGATGGATGGATATCGGGTTTGGAGTGTTTAGTGAAGGGATTGTCGTCTCGATTCAGAATACTAGTGATGGAAAAGGGAAGCGACGGCTTATTCATGATATTCTCGTCGTTTTTCTCACTATTTGTTGAAACATATGTTGATTTGAGAGCCGAAGAATTGACGCTCTGTTTGACGCCTTTATTACTAAAAGTATTTGCGTTAAGATTTGCGGACACATAGGAAAACATGGGAGCGTTGAGAGCGAAGCCGTTGTAGTCGACTATTAGGGGCGAACTTTGCGCTGATATCTCATTACCATTCGATGACATTATTATTGCCATCGTTTACACCACAATCACTACCAACAGGAATATGACTATGCATTCAATACATACGAGTAATCTTATGTCACTTCAGAGAAAGTTTTTTTTTTGACAAACTCTATGAATAACGAAATTGTTGTTTCAGTTCAAAGAGAGATCCGATAGACGACCGGTAAATGTGAGAGATTTTCACAAATTTGTCAGAAGTTTAGTTAAATGCTATCATCTTATGGTAGAAGTGATGTAATCGTGTAGTGATCGGAGAGCACATGCGCTCTCATCCCCGCAAACGCGTGCCATTGGCTGAGCGTATAAACCGAGTGCTCTCTTATTGGTAACCATTGGATTAAGTGAGCGATGGTTTTGCAAAACTAGAAATACTCGCAAATTACAAATTCATATGTATGTGCACTTCAGTCCGGTCTACATTCATGCTCTCTCACAGCCTCTCTCTCTCTTTTTCTTTATTTCTTATATTCATTATAATAAACGAATTGTTTGTTCAAAAATAATAAAACCCAATACTGTATTTTTTTTCAGTGAAACAAAACTTTTGTGCTT